TCGTCGAAGCCTCGCCACGCGTACTCGCTTTTTCCTCGCGGCCGTTCTTGAGAATCAATCTTCCTCGGGCATCGCCGAATCCATCAATCTCGCAGGAAATTATTCAACCGGACTGACAGACTGGAATCTCGATCGCAATCGAAAGGTGAAATTATCATATCTTATCTCTGTTACCTAAGTGATATCGCAGTGTACTCCGTAACCGTGATATTCAAATTTCTCATCGGCCTTCTTTAAATATTCAATACCCGCTCCCGAGGTTTCCTTCGAGTTTTATGAGAATCGTTCGAAAAACAGTGTGATACTTGCCTGCACTACGTAATACCCCTTGACTGCCACGCCTCCGCCCAGTTCGCATTTTTGTCATCGTAACCGAAGAAGGTATATTCCGTCTGGATCGTTGCCCACTTCCCATCGGCGTCTCATGAATCTCTATAAGGTCCGTCGAACAAGTAATTCGTCTGTACGTCTCCCTTTCTCTTTCTCTTTCTCCGTTTTGCACGCGTGCAACAACGGTCTCCCTATCTTCGTCTCTTTCTCACCGGTTCTTCCCCCTTTCCCTTCGTTCTTCCCCGGTTGTGATCCCTCTACACTATAACCTGGGCTCTTTCTCCACTGCCAAAGATAATGACGGTCCGCGGCAGCCGCATGAATAGAAACCGTCGGAAACCGGCCAATGGCGAATTTTACTACCATGAGACGGCGAGAGTAATCTGCATGGGCCCGTGAATGGAGAGGAAAGAAGGCCCCGAGCGGAAAGGAGGAAATAAAATAAAGAGGGAAACCCGGTCTCGGGGAGAAAGGAGAAAGAAGGGAGAACCGGCTAAAGCGATGACGTCTCCGTGCGAGAATCTAATTACCATATTTACCTCGACGCAACGCGGCCTCACCGAGCTCCGTTTGCGAGCTTATTAATACCTGTATGTGTATGTGTGCTCCTAACCGGAATAATACACGAACGGAGATACAGGAAATTAAGACAGAAACAGCGTAGCGATTCTTCGGTGAAATATATAATGTAAAGAGTATCGCAATAGATTTCGTCGAAAACGCTGGAAAAGATATCCAGCTCCTCGTCTATAGCCTTACGCATTCTTGCAGACATCGTAAAGATACCTACTCATTAAACAGCGTGAAACGAAGTTGAAAACTGAAATCTTGACGTGGACCAGAATATACATTACCTAGCAAAGATTTGCATATTTGAGGAGCGTGATAATTGTATGCACGAGTTATTTAAATCTGAATAAAAACTGAACGGAATTGATAAAAGAAGTTGGTGAGGCAATTGTGGAATGCGCGAGATGTTTTTCAGTTTATTCGGCCGAGAATTATTTTGAGATACATTACGTAATCTGTTAGAAAAGCTTACTCGCGATATGATTACTTATTAATGAAATATCGACACTTGATCGTTCAATCCGAGGCATCCACATCTCGCAAAGAAGCTATTTTCAGTGAAGCCAATAAATTTTCTGCCAAATTTCTTCCTGTCGGGCTAAATTATATTTGCACTATATGTCTATTCTCACATTTCCACTCTAGTGTATCGGAAGGTAAACGTGCCGCTCGTTAAACTTCTTAACCCCCGTCCCAGATGTTATAGCATTTGCCGTTTGTTGAAACGTTCCGCGTACGCACGTTTCTTAGTCGACGGTCATCGTCTAGGCGTGCATGAAGTGCGCCTTGTCGGGGCATTAAACAGTGTGATATGAAATTAGATCGTGGTCATTAAACGAGCCTCATCGTTCGCCACGCTTCAGCGGCAGCCGTTGTCCAGTCGTCGTTAATTTCATCGTTTACTTAGCCAGGTGCTACGTGCACGAGCACAGGCAAGGATATTTAACTACAATTGTTTATGGCGGTCGGGGGCTCGTTGAGACGACCATTTTGTCCGCCACTTCCGACGCGTGCGAGGAGACTGCTTCAATTCTGCTCCTTGCTCCTCGCAAAAGAAGATACGTACGTTTTATCACTTCCTCTATTAACTAGATTTAACGGCGTACGTCGCAAATCATGCGCTTATACTGCGCTGCCTTCTGATTCTCCATGCCACCAGAAAGCTTGTATTTTATGGGCCAAACTATAGAATTTGTAATTTATTTATCCTGAATTTTAATTCTGTCAGATTGATTATATCAAATGTTGTTTTATTAAGATTATGTTTCATCTTACCGTCAATTTTATGTTTTCATTTTAGTAGAGCAAGTTGTATTTTATGAATTTATGCATTATACATATATCTAGTTTATTCACGGGCGATCATAATTGTCTGCGATCAAGACACGAGTCCTGAACCAAAAAATAATTGCATTTAGATAAAATTGATAATGATCGAGGCGCGATAACGTTGCGATTGATCCCGTCTTTGGATTGGATTGACGATTTCGCCGACGATGCACGCGGATGTAAAAGGAAACGCTGTGAGAACGAAAACCGAGTCGCAATAACAGATGGGCAGAAACGTAATCGTTGCGTGGACGTATCATTTGGCGCAATAAATCCGTGAATCGTGAGCGACGATTAGCCGTCGGCGACACGCGGCTACGGTTATCTTCTGGACGTTGTGCAGTTGCAGCTGCACTCGCGTTAAGTGCTCGTCGCAGTCCTCTCCAATGTTTATCGCGGTTTGAATGATCTATGCCCTTTTATTGCGTAATGAAATCTGTAACCGCATCCTATGATTCTTCTGAGAAACTCTCTTCGGCCTGAGACGTCCAGGGTGGGTACGGCGAACATCGTCAAGGAGGATGGTTCCCTCGAGCGACGCGAGTAACGTTCAGTTTCATTGAATTACTTAAAAATTCTAGCTCTACCCTCCAAATGGAGTTCTGTTGTAAAAAGCTTGGGTGGTCTCTCCCAGATGATAACTGTTAATAAAAATAAAATGTTTTTTTCACTAATAAAATTGTCACGGACCACACAGTACTCGTTTTTGTACGTTACTAAGAACTCAGTACATTTCTGAGGTGTGAACCGTTTTTAACCCGTAACCGAAGTCCGCGATAAAGGTATCAGACTATCGTAACAGCTCCTCCTTGCTGCTTATCTCTACTTCGCAAATATTCGCCCAGGTGATTTACTGCGTCGTTGCATTTTCGCGTTCGAATCACAGACCGTGCCCAACGCCGCACCGTTCAGATTCCCCGGCTCGTCCGGCTGGTCAAAAGAGCTTCGCCAGTAATCCTCTCATCTCGATCGAGAGCAACAGGCTGGCTGTCCGTGGCGCGGTGCGTTTCACGTTTGCACGCGAGTGTTAAATGCGTTCCATGTGGCCGTGCAGACTAGATAACAGATCAGATGATTCGATCGATGATTCTACACGGCTGCGAACATAATCGCGGTACGGACGAATAAAAATGATTTATCCTCGTGAGATAGGTGCGAAAACGGATTGAATTCAGATGAGATCCCTTTGGCAGGGTCTACCTGATATCCTAGAATAGCGTTTCGTTGAATATTGTTAAAGCCAAGTCCCTTTATGATAATGAGGACAATGAGAAGTAGAATAGAGTATTACAAAGCGAGAGTCGAGAGTTCAAAAAAGGAGTCACGTTTTACAAAGCTGAAGTTCGTGTAATGTTCCTGCCATACTCTTGTAAGATCAGACGCGTCGAGTATAATTTTATTTTATATTGTCCTTTGATTCTATATACTGTGGGTCATGTAACAAATTCTGTGCTTCCACGATATATTCATTTTTGAAGCTTATACTAAATCAAATTTATTTTTATGATCTTTACGTGTAAAAATGGTACACGTTTCATACATATTTCGAAGATAAAGTCTGTATAAAGCTGAAGAATGTCTACTAAAATTCCCGCAGTATGGAAAACCATCGACTACAGACTAGTCACTGGACGACGCACTCGAAGTTAATGGCACGTCATGAATGCTGGCATGCTTTAAAGCCTTACTGGAAGTACCCTCTAAAAGCTAGACTATTTTCTCCTTTCTTTCATCTTTGATTTCAGACTTTATCATCGTCGAATACAAAACACGTACCGAAATAATGAAAAAATTTCCTTACAATGTGTCTTCAAATCGCGACAAAAATGAAATCGATTCCTTTCAAAAGGATACTTTTATACTTTTATGTATTATTTCCGCTTCTGTCGATTCACGGGAGTTGTAAAAATATTATTCATAACCGATTGCACTAGACTATTCCTTCAGGAGAGAGCTTTTACCTAACATGACAGACAGAGAGAACCGGAGATGTTTTCCCGTTCATGTTCGCATTGAAATTTCGATCACGAACAGGTTGGAAGATATACTTTCGTGTTTCGCCGCGGCAGCGGAATGAAGGTTCGGGGAAGCTTTAAGATGACTGTCACGTTACGTGACGAGGATTTCTGGAAATCCAGATGAACCCTGCGATTGCCCGTTTTCCACGATTGCTCGTCAAGCGAATTCCTCATAGATAAAGAGTGAACTTCGACTTTGTTGGATCCCGCAAATAACCAGCTGTGAAGATATTACGTCAACCACGTGAATTATTCTAGCGTGACAGTGGATTAGCGTTAAATTGGTGCGACGCGACGTTCTGGAAACGAGCGAGGACGTCGGCGTTGATCGAGCCAAGGTTCTTAACCCTCTGTGTGCAATTAGTGCCCACCGGTTTCATCGGCCGACGATTTACAACCGATTGTTCCTCCTTTAACGAAACTCGTTGTTTCTGAACGTCTATAGGAAATTAAGCAAATAACAAGACTGTTACGAGTTTCAAAAGAATGTGAGAACGTTGAGAGTTGTATTATAGTATGGAAGTGCGTATCCCCTTCATTAATTGGCAATTGTTATTGAGAATAAATTGATGGCTTCTGTTGAGATTACTACATGATAAATGCTCGAAGGAAAAGATAAAATTAATTCTCTTGTTATTTAGTACTTAAAATGTTAGGACGTCTACTTATTTTTATTAAACATCTCTATATCATGTTCGTCATTACATATTTTATGTACGTGGAATTTAATCTGATTATGGAATTTTTATTCAGAAGGCCGGGAAACGCCATTATCACCGCCACCACCATCAAGTTCCTCCGTTCAGACATCGCCTCGCGGATTGGGTTACACTTGCGGTCCTATAGATGGGTCCTTGTATGCTGTGGTACACCAGGGCGCTGCCGGTGGTGCCCGTGGGTCACCATTGACAGTTTCCATGGATAGCGGGATCAGCAGTGCTCCACCACAGCGTCCTAGCCCGCCGGAACCGGAGCCGGAGAATCAGGCTCATGGTGATCTCGACAAGCTTCTCCATGATATGATGCTCACCGTCGAGGTAATTGTATCATCAATAAATCGATACCATTGTTAAATCAACAAGCCGGAGAAACGTGATGAATTTATCATTTGCCTCGTCTAGTATCCTAATTGAATCACAATTGAGTAATTAGAGATCATTAATCTTAATCGACTTTCCATCTCTGGATTAGTATTGATTGCTAAAGGAACGACTGTCAATTAAGTTCATAGCTTTTGTAAAACTAACAAAATGTCTAGAATTTGCCGTAATATTTTTACGTTTATGATTGTTGTATGTATAATATATGAGGTGAACTTGCATTTAAATTGAATAAAGGAGAATATTTTCGTTGCTTGCGAAAACAGTCGATGCCAGATCCTCCGTCGGGGGAGTACAGATCAGAAAGGAACGAGAAGATGTATTTTCAAGAGAACCGTAGCTACAGCAGTCACGCCAGCAGTCATTCACCGTCGACTTATTCCACGCTGAAAGATTCGTACAGGGGTTACGGTGCCGGGAAAGAGTCCAGTCCTCCGTACAATTCGAGCAGCAGTTATAGCACGTTGAAGAACGAATATCGCGATCCGGTGAAAATCGAGCACCGAAGAGAAGAATACGAGTACCGCATGTCGCCGGACCGAAAAATATCCGAGTCGTCCACCGAATCGTACAGAAAGCATACGGAATCATTCTCACCACCTGGCAATATCGATTATATCGACGAGGACATCCCCTATCACGCCAGGCAAACCAGTCAACCTTTCTCGTACGGCGCTACATCGGACATGATCAAACACCAAAAACTCTCGTCGCCTTCTCTGGTTAGGAAAGCCTCTGTACGCGGCACTGCGCCTGTGGTGGACTTTGAGGACATTCTCGGAGAAAATTCGAGGAGACCTATCAGCCCTTTGAGCCCGAACACGCCCGATCCTCCGCCCGAGTTCGCGAACGGACCAGTGAAAACCAGCTCGGATCACGTAGATGGGTAAGTGACGAGTTTTGAAATCTTTAACTCTAATATGTTCTAAGAAAATTTTGTGCAAAATCATTTTCCGATGTGACGAGCTTCTAATTTGTGGGTATAGTATTGTCACTCCTGACTGAGAGCTTTTCTTTTGCTCTATGTATATTCGCGCGAACTCTGATTACGGAGTCCCTTTTTCTGGCACCATGCCCGACGTTAATGTGAGCTCGTCTGCGTATCACAAATCCCATAATTAAATGCGCCTCCGTCTCTAATAATACGTCGAGGGACGAGACGCAGCCCGGCGAAAAGCGTTTCGTCATGCTCGATTGTGAAACGGGAAAGACGAAGAGAGAAAGAGAGATTAGGTGGTTTTCACGGAACCTGACGTGGAAATCGTGAGAGCAAGTAGGCCGTTCCTCTGGCAGAGCTTCCAGACGAGCGACGCCGAGGCGTGTCGTAATGCGTCCTCCGAATCGGGCACCGCAAAAGAGAGTCCGAACGGGAGCGTCGCGTTGTGGAAATGGAGAAAAAGACGAAGACAGAAATCGTCGTTGGGACAATTAATAAATTGTCTACCCATAGGCGGTTGCGATTGCGACTCTTTTCCGCCAGGAATGGTGAACGCGGTCGTCGCGTCGCGTCGTGAGTCATTGTCGTTCGTCCGGAGCCCGGAGCTAGTGGAAAGAGAAAAGTCAGTAGATGCGGACGGTACTAGGACAGCCGCGCCGTATCGTGTTATGAAATACGAGTTTCGCGGTCGGTGGATGGATACCGCGAGCAACGACCGGCTTAATTCATCATTCTAGAATGTCGTACGTGTCTTAGGAATAAATTGATGGTCAATGTTGATACTCCGTCTTTTCCTCAAACTAATTTATTCTCGATATTCATGAAGCAAAACAAGCAGAATTACAATGCTCACGTTGATATTAAACACTTTTTATGAATACAGTTGACTGTTTTACTAAAACCTATTTTTCAATGCATTTTCATTGGTTTAAATATTTTCTATAATCTAATTATCTAAAATTTAGTTTATAATTCCATTATCAATATTTTAGTAAACACTTTTTGTTAGTACACTGCAAAGTAATAAAATCCTATATTTAAATTAAATTTTGTCATGTCGCGTTCTGCTAGCGGGGTTCGTCGAACCGGATAGTAGACACTGTAAAATTGCTTGTTTCGCTTTGCGTATCGGGATGTTCGCTGAAGGGCTTCGAGCAAATAAACGTTCCTTCTAGCTCGACTCGGGCTCAAGCTACGAAACCGCGAGTTTCGCCCGGATATTTATGAAGAGCCACGATCCGCTACGTTGGAGAAACAGGCGACGTTTATGGTCGAGGAGCTCGACAGACGTTTGGCAGGTCTGCTTTCTCAGCCGCAAAGAACTTCTCCTTTCGGGGCTTCACCGTTTGTTCCTTGTCTCTCGATCCTGGTTCACTGCTTCCACTCCGTTGCGTAGCTGTTCAAATTCCTTCTACAGTAAACCGCGTATTCCGAAACAACCTTCGGATATATTGAAAACGATCTCTACTACACAGTTTATTAACACATACGAAATTTTCTTATCAAATGTCATTAATACTTTAATTAAAATCATACTTATATTGTTTTATAAATCCACAGTTAAATTTAAGTATCATTTTACTTTTGTACACATTAAAAGAAGTGGTGTTCTAAAATTCCTACAACTTTCATACATTAGAATTGTATAAAAACTATGGACTTTAAGGAATCTCATGGGAGATCCGGCGGAAGGTTTATACGTGTGAAAAACGGAGAAGGAAACTTCCTATTTCTGGGACTCCCACCGCCCTCTGACATAATTATAAATATAGAACGGGCGAGACGCGGTAAATCGACCGCCACGAGGTTCAACCCTCTTCTGGCGCGCGTTTCCATTTCTCGGCTCGCGCTTTGTTTTCCATGCCTCTGCAACTGCATTTTCTTTTCCTCTGGCAATTTTTCCATCGCCGCCGGAACTTCGCCGGTGAAAACCGGAGCACTCGGATACGGAAGTCATTCGAACTGGAAGCAAAAGCACAAAAGCCGGCCCACCGTGAAGCCGTCGTACAATTCTCCTTGACGAGCTGGCGTTTCCGACGTCCTTTCCCGGATGATCCTAAACGAGCTTGTTTCCCTTGGTTCTAGCCACGCTATTATTTCGAGAAAAATCTGTTCGGTGCTTCGCCCAAAAAGAATTCGATTATAAAGCTATCATTGTACTTTGACAGTTCCATTGACTGCCCGTTTCACAAGTGTCATTAAACCCATTGTCAAATGTTCCCCCGATTATGAAGTATAAAATTCCAGACAAAATTCATGGTTGATATAATAGCCAATTCATTTAATCCAAACACTTTGTTTAAATCGGTTTTCACATAATAATTCTGTGAGATAGTGAAACAAAAATGCTTCTTATCTATCGGACAAAGTGGTATGAACGATACGATAAATATCAGTAGAATGTTTGAAAAGAGTTATGGCAGGGCAACACGGTCTTTTATTATTCGAGACGCGTATGTTATCTGACAGGAGAACGTGATAGTGTCCAGTTGTTAATTCCACACGAACCAACAGGATGGTTTATGCTCGTAAATTCGTACAGTTGCCCCTCTTTGCTTCCTAGGTTGAATAAAAAAAAGTATTTTAATTTCACTCTTCCTCGCTCCTTGCACGTTTCATTGCATCGTTACGCGAATAAATTCCTCGCGTTCACGCATGCATGTGCAATTACTGCTGCAATGGCTCACGGTTACAGATTTTTCCCGTTCAGTATAATTAGTAATTTATGCCATACACGCGTCCTCCAAATGACTGGACATTTTATGGTAATTTTGGAAGATCCAAGTAGTTCTCTGAGCATTTGGTAAATGGAGATCTCGGCTATTAAATGCTCCAGCCTTGTCACTCGTGTTAAAACGAACGAACGTTGGTCGTTTCAAGCTCATTACTTTCTGAAAAGGTCAATCTTCTATGATGTAGCTAGCTGAAAGCTGAGATACATCCCATTTACGTCTCTTCAACCAACACAAATTTCGAATCGTTTGATCTCACAGTAAATTAAGTTCTCGTCCAAACTCAACTCTCGTTTGTATACCGTAATGGTATAAAAGCCTCGTCATCGGAGCAGTCGTTCATCGTTTAATTCATAGCTCTATTAACGTCATTCAGTTTGTACAAACGCGTTCTTTCTACCAAATAATTCATTCATGAGCGCATCGATGAAATCTCCGCGCGGTTCGAAGCGAACGATTTAATTTGCCAGTTCAATTGCCAACCGTTCTTGATAACCATTCGACGTTACAGAGAGGAAATATCAGATTGCGTTTCTACCACAGATGATGCCCTCTCGATCTCTAATACAAAGTTAAAAAAAATCTAAGATTTCACTCAAAAAACCATTATTAAATTAGAATTAAATTTTCTTGTATTTTTATATTACACATTCTGAATTTTTTGATCTGGTTTGTTATAGTGTTGTACTATAAATAATAGTTCACAATTTTCTTACATAAGACTGTTCTGTTGGGGCATAAATTTTGTTAGCTATGAACAGAAAGGAAAGATAAGAGAAATAGTCGGCCGATTTGTGGTGCCGATTCATTTATTACAGGCAGCGCTGCACAGCGAAACACAGACTGAAATCGATGGCCCGAAGCGACCTCATCGATCAGGATGCAATTATCCAGGATCTATCTTGGTAGGAGGTCCTGATTCTAGCTTTCTTCCGACTCGGAACCCCGCTTGACGTGGCCTGTTCTAACGAGGCTTTGTTACACGACTCGCACGTCTCGTGTTCCGTCGAGAAAGTAGCTTCTCGTGTTTTCGTCCTTTGCTCGCGGGTAACTCGAGCCAGGGTGAAGCGTTAGGCGAGGAAAGCGAGGAATCACGATTTACAGAATGAAAACAGTTGCTCCCCGGCAACTTAGATGCTAATCTATGACAGGTGACCGAGGATCCCTTGCGACCTTGCACTTTTCCCTCTTTCGCCTTGTTGAAAGAATCACATGAGTGTTATACTTATACAAAGATGGATGTTCTCGTTGTTATCAATCTTAGACAGTTTCTTAATTATTCATAAATAATCCACTTTTTATTGTATCCTTAAAAGTGGATTACTCATTAATAGAAGTTCTCTAAGTATTCGTTGACAAATTTTATCATACACATTTGTTATTACTACTATTTAATTAGAATTGATAAAATCACTGATAAAGTTCCCACGCGAAGTAGCAAAGTTTTAACATAGCTGTTCCACTGTTGATAGACTATCATGGCTAAGGCAGCAGCAATTGAAACTTGCCGCGAGGAGGGACGAAAGAAGCCCGGGAAAACTTTGGCGGCAGGAGACCGGAAATCGTGTGATCGGTGAACTAAGAAGCTTGCAAAGAGGAAGGCTCAGGCAGGATGGGTACGCGAGCGATTCGGCCGTTCTCGACGACGATGATGAGACGTGGGCTGTCACATCTAATTCTGGACAGGTAAGGCGTTGTTGGTAATTTATCACATTTCTTGCAGCTACTTAGAAGAAATTTGTATGGCTGAAGAAATACAAGATACGATTGATATTTGAAAATATAATATAAAATATATTTATTATATTTTTGAACTTTGATCGTATTTTAGATACAATCGAGGCCGGTTCCGTATACGTCCGCGCCTGCCAGTCCTTTACTTCCGCAACGATCCAGCAGCCGGAAGTACAACGGTACCGTCGGAACTGGTACCTTAGGAAGACCTCGGGCGGAGAGCGTAAACGAGCGTCCCTTCATGTCCATGAAACGGGCTTACGAGTATCGCAAATACAACGATAGTCAGGTAAACAAGGAAGTACATGTAATAGTTTAAGAATAAAAAGATAGTGTAATCTAGTTTGCTGTAGCAGTGCACATAAACGGGTTGAAATCGGTCGTAGATAACGAGCCAACGGTTTTAATATCCCTGAAGCTATAAAATAAGTATTTTATTTATTCAACGCACAAAGTATCCAACATAGTTATGTAATAAATATTTGTTAAATCGCTGATAATCGTAGAAAGAAATTTCTGGAAACGTAACCGAACTATGTACTTGAGATAATTATTGGCAATGAGGATAATAAATTTGAAAAGGCGGTACGATCGATTTCCGCCTTTACGCGAATGAAACGGCGGCAGCACGAACGCTACAATTTAGACTCCCATAGATAGTGATTGCAAAAGCAGTTCGTTCCGTGTTCAGTTTTATGGTTATGCCCCACAGTTAGATCTTAAAGAGGAAGTGAACGGACACCCGTGTACCATAGATTTCGCAAAAATATTGCATCCTTTCGAACATACCCCACCTTTCTTTCGCCCACCTTTTTGACAAGTTATTATATAAGACATTACATGCTTAATAAATGATACGATTGGAAATGAGGACTGTTCCATTATGATAATATAAATTAAAGGAATAAAATGTTTCGTTACAAGTTCTGTCGAAGCCAGTTATTGCAACAGCAATAAAGAGTCCTATAACATTCATTATTTACTCGAGTCGAGTTTCAAATTAGACCTCCATACTCGTAAATGTAAATACGTATTATCGGAGTATCTATGCAACTAAGTATTAATACAATTAACTTACTAATGGAGAACCGCGATAATCTGATCGCTAATAGAGAGATAGCCCACGTAAACACGCCGTGGCATATAAAGGATTAAAATATCCCAGATCCTTGTAGCATGAAGCGCTTGGCTTGCTTTTCAGAGCCCTCCGACATCCCCCCGCTCAGGCTTAGCAAGCACGCAACCCTTAGGATTAGCAATGCAGCAGCAAGCAGCATTCGTTAACACGGATAAGCCTCAACCGCCGCGACCGGAATCGCGTAGCGACAGTTTCGCACGTGCCGATGCTTTGTTGCGCGAGCATCGGCAGCAACAACAGCAACTGACGGCCAGCAACGCGATCGTTAATTATGCGGAACCGAAACAAACGTTGGGTCAAGATTTCACGGGTCAACAATCGCGAAATCGAATAGTGACTTATCAGACTCTGAATAGAACTATGGTGGCCAGCAACGACAGGAGCACCGATCACGTTGACGCGGGATTGCTGACCGTGGTCGATCAGCAATCGAGTCCGCAGACGAATCCGGACCCTCTCGTGAGCCTTATTCAAACACTGGCTGAAATATCACCCGTTTGCTCTCAATCCGTGACTAACAAGACAAACATGAACGATCATCATCCGAACGTCAGCGCAGCAACTACGACCACTGCGAACAACAATGCTGCTAACGCCATCACTAATTGCTCCCCTAACCAGTCGCCCAAAGCATGGCAGAATTGCACACAGGTTTGTCCAGCTTACACCTGCCGGAACTTCTTAGTACATCACGTTTGCACTGTAGCACTTTCATGTTCTTGGTACTGCAGAGGGATGAGAGAGATTTTACAAAATTGTTTT